CCTCCGCCTACCCCCCTCGGCCCTCTCCTCCCTCGCCCTCCCTCCAGACGACCGCTTCCTCCCCTCCTCCTACAAGCTCGACCACCTCGCCCAATCCTCCATCGCCCTCGCCACCCTTGCCGCCGCCCTCCTCCACTCCGCCCGCCACCACCACCATCTCCCCCCCATCTCCATCTCCCCCCGCGCCGCCGCCCTCTCCTTCCTCTCCGAACGCCTATACACCCTCTCCTCCCACCCGCCCCCGTCCTCCTGGGGCAGCATCTCCGGCCTCTACCAGACCCGCGACGCCGGCTACGTGCGCCTCCACGACTCCTTTATCAACCACCGTCGCGCCATCGCGCGCATCCTCGACGTCCCCATCTCCGCCACGGGCGCCGTCGATCGCGCCCACGTCGCCCGCGCCATCCGCGCCAACTGGGATGCTGCGGACCTCGAGAGCGCGGCGCTGCGCGCGGACGCGGTGGCGGTCAAGCTGCGGAGCGCCGGCGATGAGTCGTGGGCCGGATGGCCCGTGGGCGACGTGCCCGTGGGCATTGCGCGTTTTGCGGTTCCGGGGGGGGAAAATACGGGTGGAGAGATCAAGGGCCATTTTGGGAGTTGTCTGATAAACAACAACAACAGACCCCTGCACGGTCTTCGAGTGCTGGAATTAAGCCGTGTAATCGCCGCTCCCGTCGCGGGACGCACCCTGGCCGCCCTGGGCGCGGATGTCTTGTGGCTCACAGCGCCGCATCTCCCGGACCTACCCGCGCTCGACGTCGATCTGAGTCGCGGCAAGAGGACGATCCAGCTCGATTTCCGCCGCGACCAGGACAAGGCGCGTCTTCTCGACCTCGTTCGCTCCGCCGACGTGCTGATCCAGAGCTATCGGCCAGGCAGCCTGGACGCATACGGCCTTGGTCCGCGAGACCTGGCCGTCGTGAACCCGGGGCTTGTCTATGCAAATCTATCCGCGTACGCCGAGGCTGACGGGGCGCTGCTGAAGAACGCGGACAATGCCTGGGCCGGGTTTCGAGGGTTTGATTCGCTGGTGCAGACTTGTTCGGGGATGAATGTTGCAGAGGCTGAGCGGTTTGGTGTCACTGATGGTGCCGTCCCTGCGCGAGTGCTGCCGTGTCAGGCTCTCGACCATGGCGCTGGGTACCTCCTCGCCACGGGTATTCTGGCTGCGGTGTACCATCGGGATTGTGTCCCGGATGGGTTTGGTGCGTACAGAGTCGATGTCTCGCTGGCCGCGGTGATGAAGTATCTTCAGTCGCTTGGGCAGTATGACGGTGCTTCCGGGTTCCAGGTGGATCACCCGGTTCCAAAGAGCTATCCGCTCCAGGAGGCGGATGAGGAGAACGGCTGGGATGAAAGCTTCTGGGAGACGCGGCCGTCTGAGTTTGGAGACCTGAGAGCGGTCAAGTATCCGGGCGTGATTGACGGCTGCGATGTCGGCTGGGATAAGATGCCGAAGAAATTGGGCAGTGATGAAGCCAAATGGTTGAAAGTTGGTTGATTTGCTTTGGTCTTTGATCTATGCAAGTATTTAACTACAGTTGCTACATGTATACTCAATCCCATCACCGTTTTATATCGTGACAATTCATGGCCCCCATCGCAAGAAGCACATCCTACTTAATCACACTACGATCGAGCGAGCCGACGCTCACGGAAGGTCTGGCCCTTCCACATGATGAGCAAAACGCCCGCAACGCAGGCAACGTCCAGGATCCCCAGCCCGGTAAAGCACCATCCGTACCCGATGCTGCGCACGATCCGGTCGATAATCACCGCCGCTATCGCCGCGGCGATGTTGCGGACGAGTCCCGCCAGTGCCACCAGGCTGGCCGCCTGCGAGGGATCGCATTCCGTTTGGAATGAAGTGCTGGTGACGAATATGATCGCCGTCCCAACAGCCGCTGTTGAAAAAGGGTCAGCTGGTGCGGAGAGAAAAGGAGCGGGTCAGGAAAATAGAACAGAGTGGCTGCCTACCGATGCCTGATCCGACTAGCCCAGCACTCGGATGGATCTCGTGGGCAGTGAACCACCCGTACAACACCTTTCCAGCGCCCGATATGATAAACCCAAAGATTTGAAGGGAAATCCTCTGCTCGGGTAGGACAGACCCAGACCCGGCAGCTTGCTGTGCCGCTTTGAGTGCCTTTGCCCGACGGTAATCAGAAAGGCGTCCTGTGAGCACTGAGGCAATGAGGAGTGAGATTCCTAGTCATCAGGCAGCACGCAGTCAGCACGACAACGATCCAGGCTTCGTGAAGAGAAGGTCAGGTGCTCACCGGGAGCCAGATACAGGTACCCTACCTCTGCGCTGGAAAACCCATATCGTTCTTCCCAGACAGATGGAAATGTCACGTATATCGCATACAGTCCAGCGAACGAAAGGGCACCATTGACAGAAACGATCAGATGCGGAGGATACCTCAGCAGCCGAATGAACCCCATCACCGTCGGTTTGGGGGGCTTGGGAAACCGGCCCTGATCAACAAGGGGCTTCTGTCGTAGCCGTGGCATCGCAAACCAGCTGCTGCTGGCGTAGATCTCGCCATTGCCCACCAGGCATCGTAGCGTCTCTGGCAGGAAGAAAAGGACCAAGACGTAAAGCGGCGCACAAGTGAGGGCTGCAGAATATGTTTAGAGGGCACTCATATGGAATGGGACTTGCTGGACAAACCGAGAAAGCCAAACACCCACCGCCATCGTGACAAGGTCGCAAACTGGCCACCTATCAAAGGACCCAAGATCGGGCCCAACTGTGGTCCGAGTAAGAAGATCGCCAGTGCCGAAGCCCGTTTTGCTGGCTCAATGATGTCTGCGACCGTACCGGCACCAACGGAGGTTACGATGCACGACCCAAACGCTTGGAATATCCGCAGCACAAAGAGCCCTGGCAGTGTCGGTGGCAGCGCTGCCAGCAGGATATTTGAAATCAGGAAACTCCCAAGTGCAAACATGTACACGGTCTTGCGGCCTCCATAATCGGCGGCGGCAGCGCCAAACAGCGGCTGGAGGAGGCAATCCACACGGTCAGCGAGCGTTCTTTACTGCGGACAAGTAGGCCTTGTTGCGAAAATGGGCAAGGTATGTCGAGGGTATATCTAACCGCAATGGCGAAGACCGCCATATACACCGACACCGAGGCATTGATCACCGTCACGGTGGTGTGGAAGATCTGCTGGAAGAGAACCAGGGATGGCAGGTACACTGCGCCGCAGAGAGGACCGAAGAATCCCACCGCCGTCACGGTGCCGATGATAAAGCGTCGTCGTGCCGGCGAAAAGGCGGAATACGGTGCTGGGGGGTCAGACGGCGGGCTGGGAATGGGCGCGGTGGTCGCAGTCACCGAGGATGTGTGTGACGCCGGGTCGGACTTTGCCTCCTGTATCACAGCCATGGTTGTCACTCGAGGGGGGAGAAAACACCAGACCTACGCCAGCAAGCAAGCAGGCAGGCGAGCAGACAAAAAATCCAGGACGATCAGACGCCGGTTTGGTCGCTTGCGATTCAAGAGCACCGGCTGGGATTGATATTCGCTTTTGTTCGGGGAACGCGAGGGATCGGTCCAGGAGCAGGCAAGCAAGAGCGTCAATCGTTGCCTCGAGCTACCCTGTCCCCATGCGCGGGGGGTCCGAGATCAGTGTCGCCCTCACAGAGGCCTCTGCTGTGTAGTTATATTTGCAGATGTAACCGCGGCAAGGAGCAGAAAAACAAAGCCCAAACGATCACCAGCAAGTCCAAGTTGTGCGGCCGTGGGGATCCTGCATCCACGCGAACTCGATTGCAGAATGAACCGGCGAGATACGAGCTCAAATATCAAGTGCAGCGCGGTGCAGAGGGCATGCAACCCGCCGCCCCCGGATAGCATGCACACGCCGTTTCGATATGCGCCAAGGCGAGAGCAATCGTATTCGCCGCTCTTCTCAGGATTGGGGAGGGATCTGCGAGATTCGAGATCGAGTTCATGCACACCCTGGCTGGGATGCAGATGTCAGACCGATGTGGCGACCAGGGCCCTGCTCCGAGGCTGTAGGGATCAGAGGCTGGCTACGGCAACGGCTGAGCAGCTGTGTTAAGGCTGACGGGAACACAGCATTTCGAGGCGCAGGTTGCGAGAGCGCTTGAATGGTCTATAAACATGGCTGAACTATCTAAACAAGGGGCATTCTCTAGATTCAGGGCTTCCTCTCTACCAGCAGGAGCAGGCCGATTTGATTTCGGGATTGCTCGTTCGCTACGGGCGTGGTATTGTCTGTCTGTCCCAGTGCTGTTGGGATATATAAGCATTGTGCCGTTAGGAATATTCCTTGCTGATCCGCTGGAATCGGACTCGCAGATTTCTCGGATACAGTGGCCCAGCCTGTCGATCCCCACGCTATTAATATCTGTTGCATCATGACTTTGGATTTTGTTACTCACCGGCGTCATCATTCGAGGCCATGCAGGATCAATCTTCCACTCCACAGACCGTAACACCGCCGCCATCGTGATCCTTGCTTCGAACATCGCGAATTTCTGTCCAAGGCATACTCGCCTCCCTCCGTGGAACGAGATGAATGCCCCCTTGGCGTTCGCTTTCCTAAACATGGTGTTGATATCTTCGGCTGTTTGACCCCAGCGCTCAGGTTTAAACTCATCGGCATCTGCTCCCCAGAACTCTTGATCCCTGTTGGTTGCGTAGGCATTGTAGCCCACGTACGTGCCGGCTGGCAGAGGGATTTTTCCTCCTAAAAGCACGGGCCTGGTCGTGCATCGATTGATGAGTTGCGAAATTGGCGGATACATCCGTAAAGTCTCGTATATCACAGACGTCAAGTATGGAGCCGATTGGAGGACGGGATATGCCAGTTCATCGTCTCCAAGCGAAAATAGCTCCCTGCGGACCTTTTCCTGGACCGCCTAAGCGACATTAATATCAACGATCGCGTCCAAAGCTAGCGGCTAGCACTCGCATGTTTGACTTACCTGGTGCTCGCCAAGCAGGAATATCATCGAAACAAGCAGGAGCTGGGGGTTTTCATGGCCTGCTAGGAAAACGCTGACCATGTTGTTTCTGAATTGCTTTTCCGTCAGAATCCCTTCTTCAAATGCCCCGATTACACTGCAGCCGACATTTGAGGTCGACTTGTCATTGTGCGCATGTTGGTGGCCTTGTTGCACCACTGCACAGAGTTTGCTGGCGAACTGTCTCGCAAGTTGACGTGCTTTTTTCCGGCTGGGGAGATTTAAATGGTCTAGAAAGGGAAAGTTCATGAAGACGGGGCTGAAAATCAAAGGCTTGATTTGCATCTGAAATTCGTGAAGAGCCGCGTCCTTTCGTTGTAAAGTCTAGATTACACCAAGCGGTGAGATTCCAACAACTTACAAGCGTGAACAGCCATTGAACCGTGAGTCTTACCTCGAAACTGGTCCCGAGAAGTCCTTCCGCGAGGTTGGCCAAAGTATACCGTTGAAGGAGTTGCGGCAGCAAAACGGAACCCCCCGCGGACGACTTTTGCTCCTCGAACAGGAGGTCAATGAGGAGACGAGCGTTGCGCCAAATAGGTTCCGGATCCTGATCCTGTTGAAGTGGTGGCTGAAGAACCGACCGGTATAGCTTCCAGTTCTCACCATGGGCGCTGATGATGTTGTCTCCGGTGTATTCCGCCAACACGCTATGGGGTATCTTCACATGGTTTCCGCTTTTGGCATAGATATCTTCAAACTTGAAAACCTCAGCAATATAGGACGGGCGCTGGACCAGGATATTCCATCGACCACCGAAGAATATTTTTGCCGCTCCATGTTTCTCAAAAAGAGGCTCCAAGTATCTGCGGTAAAGAACCTCCTGGTCGTTGTCCTTGACGAGAGGAAGAAGCGCATAGTAAAAAGGGATAGTGGGTATATTCCTTGGGAAACTGCCGGGAGGACTGAACAAATATGCAGCAACAAAGAGAAGGAGGATAGTAATAATGGCAACTGCTAGTAACCCAGTAGAAAATAAAGAGTATGCTGTGAGCATGGTTGCGTTTCACCGATTCGCTCTGTAGTTACAGGATGCTGTGATCCGTCTAAAAATTCGCACGAGATCTTCTCTTTCAGGCGGTAGAGTTCTCGTCAACCGGGCTGCTCTGTGATATCTCAAAAATCTGAAATGCTGGATACTGGCTCAGGAGCTGGGGAGGCTGGAGGGCTGGTCCAATGTGATCGACCCTCCATCATGAAGAAGCATGCCAGCCCAGCCAGCAACTCTTTCGCAATGCCCGCCCCCACGCCTCGGGATCTCAACACAAACATCCAAGGTCCTATCCAAGAAGTCTGCCAGATAGCCGGCTCAATACGAGGTAGGATTTCTTCCATGCATCCCGCGATCCGCAGGTCAGCACAGGTCCGGGTAGCTGAAGCGAAGCTGCGCAGCCAAGGGAGGGCGGGGAGGCGCAAATTCTAAAAAAAAAATATTGAACACAAGCTGTGCAAGTTGATGGAGGCGAAGTTCCGCTGCATATATCTCCACCGGTTGGAGGTTTTAAAATGAGCAGATTAGCTCCCAACAACGGAACAAGGTCCAAGTGCGGCTGCAATATCGTCTGGTTGTCAAGAGAATTGCAAGGAATCTCCATCCTATCCATCTGGAATCAAACCTGGTACAGATCACCTTTTGAGCAAATTACTCCCTACCCCCCCGGCCCTGAATTCAAATCATGCCTACTTTGAATCGAGGAAGTTCGGTATACCATTCGACGTATGCCCTATATTGGCGTGACGCGAGCGGCAAGCTGTTGGCGGTTGAAGGCAACGGGTCCAGTGAAGTGCGTCAGGCATGGCCACAGGTATGGGATGGGATTGCCGCAAACAGCAAGAAGCGAACCACAATCAGATTGCCCTCTGGGAGACAGATCGACAGCTATCAGATCAAATTAGGCCTGCCCGCCCTTCTAGATGGGGGCCGTTTGGATTCTGGGCATCAATTGACGCAAATCCGAGAGCTGCAGAGTAACAACGGGCTTATTCTGGGGCTTGTCACATCTGGGCACTCAAACAACTCCTCAAATGCCGAACTCGATGACTGGTTCGAAAAGTTCCTTCTCCTGCGAACAGAATTCGAGCCGTTCAATGCCCTATCAGAGACCTCAAATCAAGAGGCACGACGGATTGCAGTACAGATTTCCGATTTATTCGACGAAAAGCTCAGGAATATTGCCCCGAATGACCAGTGGAGTTCCGGCGGGGGCATGGAGTATTTCAGGAACCGCGTCTATGGCTTCGTCGACAAGGGTCTGCCTGTCATCTTTTGTTTGCCGGCATTTCCGTGCAAATCTCCCAACCCACAAAAAGTCGGAGGAGAATATCCGGATGCAGCGGAGTATTATGCATTGGTGACGTTACTCGACTTCCTTCGAGCAGTGTCTTTGGTCTATAAACCCGGAGCTATATTGTGGATCATCAGTGACGGCCATGTGTTTTCGGATTGCAGTAAGGATTCCCGTCTTCACTTATAACAAAAGGGGTATGGCTAATTTGAGGGGGAATAGTCGGCGTCGACGACATCAAGGTAGATGAATATAAAGACAGGCTCATGGAAATGCACAACGAAATATGTACCGATGAGAAGCAACGCGGATACATTCAATTTATGGGACTGCAGGAGATCTTCCTCTCCGACCCTGACTTGACAAACCAACTCTCACCTGCATGGATGAAGAACATCGAGCTGGCACATCCCGTTGGAACCAAACTCACAGAAGATGCAGAGCTTTGCAGGAAGCTGCTTATGGAAATGTGTCAAACAGACCGGGGGTATCTCCGAAAGTTAATCCAGGAACAGGAATCGCATGCACTTCAGATGTACAGGGGTCTCTCACGATTCATGCTGAGAGATCTGGGCAGTCACTCTTCAATGAAGGGGTTGAGCAGCAAGCAGCAGAAGAAGCTATCCAGTAGCGTCGCCACTGAAATGATCCTTGTAAGTTCGGCCGCGCGCTTATTCCCCCTGCATCAGGGGACGTGCGTAAACTAACAGCCTTGTGATAGCGGAATCAAGCATATTCGAACCTGGTCGAGCTTCTGTTCCCCAACTATGTGCGTCTGTCAATCCATGCGTAAGTCCTTCACCCATACCAAACCACTTTCCGTCTCAAGGGACTCATAAATTCTATAGCCATAACAACAAAGGGCCCAAGTTCGGTATCAAACTCTTCCCAAAATCAACGGTCCGTTCAATTAGTTCTTTGGAGACACGACATGAAACCCATACTACTGATGACTTCCACCTGCCGACCCCCTGGCACAATTCCATCATCAAGGTTAGCGGAGACAGGCACATGTACCTGACCGCAGCAGACGTCGCCCACGCCGGAATCAATGGGGCTCTCTTCAAAGGCTCTTGGGTATCCGGCCCCAACGGTGGGCACTTCTCTCTGACTAGCACAGAGCAACCGACAACTGAAAAGCCCGCTCAAGATACGTATCAACAATCTGGGCTGTTCAGCATTATCCAGTGGCTATGGTTCAGTATCACCAAGCCCTTCTGGACTCTCTGGCAATAGAAATCCACTTAAAAGCACCAACACCAGCCTCAATCAACAGTACTAACGACGAGCGCCCAACAGATAGGGTGATATACCTCCATTATTGGTGAAAAATCTTCAAAAAAAAAGACAAGGAAACGGGTCAAAGGATACATGGTCTTCCCAAGTGCTGCAGACATAAAAAAAGACTACTTTGATATAGCTGAATAATTCAAACACGTTTATCGACAGCAGTCTCTTCCCGTCATTGGATGCACGTAAACCAGTAGAACCTGAGCCAAACCAGACGCTGAACAATGTCCTTAAATGGAAATTTGATCATGTCACCGTCGGCCGCATTCTGGTAAAACATCGACAGTAAGGGTAAGTTGCCACTTTCATGCTCTTGAAGAAACTTCTGCGCCTCCGATTCGGCAATTATTGGGGCTGAACATTGAAAGTGACAGGTCTTCTCCGTGTTTCCGTCCATGATCGATATTGCTGACAAGCTCAAAATCGGACACCATGGCCGTTGCAGAGTGCAGTATGGCGTCTCGGCTCCACGGCAGAGTTGCGCGTCTTCCCGGCATGTAGGACATGCGGCTGATCTGCATCGCTTTGAACGCCTTGTCGCCAACCAACCCGCTCAGAAGCGCGCCCAGCGATCCGTTCCGCTGTTTTATCAAACTTTATTTCATGGTTGTTGTCTCCTCGTCGCAATGGGCAGCGTCGCTATTCTGACTCCCGACTATCGTGATGGCCGGAGATTCCAGCTCTTGATGTGATGAATTGAGTCAATTAATCACTCGCTCTCTCTCGTCATGTGTAAATCCTAGCAATTCGGATCGGAAAGAAGGCTAGGTAGCAAGCTGTGGTAGGTACTTTGGGAGTGTCTCTTGAACTCGGCCATGCGGGCAGTATGCGTGGGTGGGAAGGCGGGTTATTCCATCCAGGAAGGCTGGCTTGGATATGGTCGTGGCATGTCTTCAGCATGTGTGGCGATGAAGACAAGGGAGCAGCTGTCATTGTCGACCTGGTGGGATCAACTGAAGCAGTGGAGTGGTGGTGTTGCAATATGTCTGGAGGTCAAGAGAGGCACCGGAGAAGATGTGACCCTGTTGCGCTTGGCATCAAGTTAACCACCGCTCTTTTCCTCTGCTTGTCCCCCAACACCATGACAATCACGCGGACGAGGGAGAATACGTTGATGGCCTTATCAATATCAAAGAACCGAAGATCTGGTATATATATATATATATCATTACTACGCTTTGCTCCGCTTGGCCACACTTCGCAGGCCCTCTGCTTGCTGCCCCTATCTACACTAACCCTCGTGGGTCTATCTACTGCCCCAGTTTCTCGTTCACAAACTTCAAGGCCTGTTTGGTATATTTCGGAATATATTCCCCATGGACAGGAAGGTCAAGGCCACGGTCGCAGGCAAAATCACCTGTGTCGCAGTAGGATTCTAGGCGGTCCGCATAATAATCACAGGACTGCGAGGGCAGACGTCCAAAAAGCTGTTTGAAAGGAGTCAGTTCATGCCCGAACTTCCTTCCGAACATGTTGATAAGCGGCTTACTCCATCTCTGCGAGATGTCCCCCTATTGTACGATTCACCTCCAATATGGCGTGGGTCACCGAACCACACGATCGCAGTGACTACCGTCATGGGTTAGTCAAGATCACGATGGTGAAGCGAACAATCTCTTGCCATGATCTCCAATTTCTGTTGCGATTGGATCGGTCAGAGGCCCAATTCCAGGGACACCTCCTCCTCCGCACAAGCTGTCTCCGATGATATGGGCACCCTGCGAATAGCCGAGAATCACGATCTTCGAGTCTGGGCATTTCTTCACGTACGCGGTGAGCGCTGCTGTGGCAGCCAAGGTCCCGTTGTGCGAGTTTACATCGTACGGAAGGATGAGTGCTGGCCAGACAATCGAATCTCTTGACGCTTCCGGGTGGGCACCAACAATAGCGTCAACCAAGGGAGATAAGGTCGGTCCCTCGCCCTGTGGCTGATTACTTCCGCGAGCGCTTAAAATGTGAATCGGAGCACAGTCGTCTGCGACCTTGGGGAGTGGGCTGCCAGAACTGACCACGCTGTTTAGCGCTAGGGCAGCAATAATACTAAGAAGGATCATTGTGGCAACTGAATAATGAACCCGATGCACCGAAGGGTTGGGAATAGGCGCCGGAACCGGGGCCCAATGCTCGAGGGGGGAGTCTCAGCTAGTGAGCACAACGAGGGGACCTCCATTGTCGATTCGGGCGAGTTGGTTCTATTTATCTCTATTTTCGGACCGCGATGTGTCGATATTCAGTTCCTGACGGAATCCATCACATGCTCGGCCCGATGTAACACACGGTCCAGGAGATCCTCTCGAATGTTTTCGTTGAGGAGTTGACCTCGTAGATCTACAGATTCAGCCGCCCATCAACCTCCGAAAGCAACAAGGGATCCCTGTTTGTGAAGAATCGCAGTTAGAACAGAAATTCCGAGAAAGCAACACACAGGTGTAGTTGATAGACTTACTCAGATATTAATCGAAGCCGCAATATTGGTGGTGCTAAACTAGGCTCAGACTCATGAACATATGACACTTTGCAGCCCGGGAAATCTGTCATGTTCTTCATCACCTGTCAAAGTTGCAAGTTTATATGCTTTCTTTTTCCCGTGAAGATCATGCGGGGTTCAAGCAAAACCTCATGTGTCCTTCAGGACAAGCACACATCCCGATCTGCAAAGGAACGGATCGCACTGGCGATCTCACCAGCACTCAGTCATCATGGGTGACCCATGGTGAAGGGGCGACCACAGATTCAATCGCATTTCCATTCAACACGGCACGTGGGGATTAAAGCCTCATCAGGCCTCACAGACCGGAAGATAGGATAGAAGAGACAATTTCTGGGTCATCAGAAGATGGAAAGGCATCCATGAGGGTTGATGCGGACCGCCGCGCAATAAAACATGGCTGCTCAACTCATATCTCCTCTATAAATGCTCTGTGGACCAAAGACTTACCTTGATGGCCTTCAATGGGAGCATTCTCATTGCCCAAAATGTGAAAGGTCTCCATGACTTCTGATATTCACAGTAATGGCAGGATTCTGCAACTCCACACCCTCTAGGTTTAGGGATGCCGCAGTGAATGTCCTACCTGTTGTTAAGACGGGACTCTCGCAGCTTGGTTTTGAGGCCAGCGGGAAAATGATAAACGGCTTTCCTGGACGGAAACAAAGAGAAAGGAAAGTTGCAGTGACGCTGGCTGGGATATTCCAGGCTTACATCAACACAGGTGACAAACTTCTTCATCAAGTGTTCCTCCCCAGCAGATCTGGCTGCCTATGACACGAAAACCGGCCTTGTTTAACATTTGTATTTCCCTCCTCCTTCCTTTGGACTGGAGTTATAAAATCAAAATCTAGACACCTTATTTCGAGTATCCCAATCAAGATCAGCAGGATAGCGAAATCGACATATCAGATTCTTGAAAAATGGCATCAAGGACTTTGGGTTCAGCAGCATGCAACCCCATCCGCCAGGCGGTGCGATCTGTGTTCATCAAGTGGTTATCCGCCGTGGGTGACTCGTTGATGGATTTTAGCCTCGTTGTCGACGGAGGTAAAGTAGCGGTGACATCTTGACCTCGGGACATGCCTTTGTTTGGTTTCTTTGTTTGGCTAACTCGGACCGTTAACTTCTAGAGCTATTTATAAACGGGAGTTTCCAGGATGTTGAACTTGGCCTCTTGCCGTCTGGGTCGTCGAGCCCGGTCTGTGTCGTCAAGGTTGCATTCGACGAACCCAAGGCCAAATGGTTATCCGAAGCCGTTCGCTTGGTGTATGGGCCAGAGAATGATTGTCGAATTGCAATTGTCGTGGAGATTCATGCCGAGCCGGACGAGAATCGCCCTCCACCACCAGAGAAAGAGATGTGGCGTTCTCTCCCATTTATGTACAAACACAACGTTGGGCAGTTGGCGACGACAATTGCGCAGTTTTGCTTTCGCAAGGGGTACTACCTCAGTGGTTGCTTTACGTGCCGGATCCATGTGTTGTGCTTGCGGTGGAGGGAGTCGGAGCTCCTCTGGGAATGTAGGTTGAAAAACGAGGAGCTTATTCTGGAGACAAAACACGACGAGCAGGACGAATATCCCAACTGGAAAGAGCTCCTCTTACCCGAATGGACTGTGAGGAAGAAGATTTTGCTTCCGTTCGACGACGTGGTGGAGGCCATCATGGACTCCATTCCCGCGTACGAAGAGATGGTGAGCCTCCGTATGGCAGGCAAGAAAAAAAAGGCGCTCCTCCCGCCAATGGAGAAGTGCAAGAAATGCAGGTTTTGCAAACGTCACCTTGAACCTATCAACGGGCTCAAGCGTCTGTACGAGAAGGAGGAAAGAGAAAAAGAGGAGAAGAAGAGAGTCTTGAAAAGCCACACAGCAAGTGTAGCCGGTCGACAGGTCCGGGGGACGCAGGACAAGCGGAAGATCGCCGACCAATTGAAGGAGCCAGAAGCAGGTGATGCGGATGAAGAGATGGAAGATGGAATGTTCGATGCTGATGATGGAGGAGATGAAGCAGAGGAGCCAAGTGAGGATGAATGGAGTGAATACGAGGATGACAGCACCGACATGACTTCGGATTGAAGAACAGACTCCGAAAACAAAATCCCGGTGTTCTCTCGCGCCGGATCCTAGCTTTACGAGAAATAAGAGCAGTGTTGATTGCTTGGATGGTGCTTTTGCGTGGCAGGATTAGGCTCTAATGTACGGAGTAATCTCCGCAAAGGATCGGTTGTTTTGCTGAGCTGTTCAAGAGCATGTGCTTTGCATCCGAGCCATGGTCTGAAGCCGTTCATGCCATTTGAAACAAACAGGACATGGCCCCGTCTCCTCCTCTGTTCCGTGTAGTGCTGTTTGAGAGATGCCATTGTCGTTCCGTCTCAGCAAGGAATTTATATTTGTTCTTTTGCTCCCAAACGGGCGATGTTTGGAGTGTTTGCAGTGCCCGTAAATAGCTGCTTATATAAGCTGTCTCGGCCAATCGAATGCCAGGGACCCCTGCGCACTAAGCCTAAACGGGGAAGACTCCGTGCTGCGGCTCTGTTGATGCACAGGGGGAAGATCGCACGGCACACCAGAACGAAGAGTAATCAACAGCCATGCTGCCATCAAACGGCTAGTCTGCAATAAAAGGCCTCATATACCGGAACTGCTTGCGACCTAATTTCGTGCCGGGCTGTCTTCTTCAAAGCGCCGGCTCGTGAGGAGGACACACTCCGAGCAATCTCATGGATCTCTCCCTCATCCTCTGCGGGCCAAATCAAACGTGTGCTCGTATTCGATGCAGCCTGATTATATGCAAACTCCGATCAACGGTTCTAAAATGATCGTTCCGCCCTGTCTTCCCCAGTGTCGGAAGGTTGATTGGCCCTGAGATACGAGAGGCCTTTGATCTGCTCAAAAGCAAATCACAAAACCATGCAAGTTCAACCGCCGTTGCTAATTATATGACAACCAGGAGTGGTGATGGAGAAACACCCTCTGCCTGATCTGCGTCAGCACGAGGTAATTTCAGCTATCCAGTGCATCTCGGTCTGGGCACTGTGAGGTATATAAAGGCCGCTGATTCTCCCTCAATCGCTATGTTTCATCCTCATCCTCATCCACAGCAACAGCGAGAACGAGAAGCACAAGACAGAAAAAGTCAATTTCACAAAGTCCAAAATGAAGGTGCGGCGCCATTCACCTCTTGACGATGCATTTATCCACTCAGCTAACTCGACCACTCTTTAGTACACCACCATCATTGCGACTCTCGCCCTCCTCCCCGCTGCGCTCGCCGCAGTCATGGATAACCACATGCCTGGCCCTGCTGTATGTCACAGAACCCCGACACTCATCGTGTCATTGACCTGCTAACATCTGGATCCTGCTTCCCAGCTCGAGGAGAGAGCCTGCGTCCCAAGCAAGTGCCGATGCATCGGAGGCCAGGGCCAGTTCTGCGGCAACGAGAAAATCAACAGGGACTGCAAGAACGGTCACGTTTACGAGTGCAACCGCAAGACCGGCAGGACCTGCGACTATGGAATCAGAACCTCCTGCAAGAAGTGCAACAAGCTCAAGTGCTAAGCGGTGGATGGGATGTCTGTCTTGACTGTGAATTAATAATTTTCAAAGTAAATATAATCATCCATGGAAGTCCACTCGTTTGGTAATACGTGCCTTTGTCCTGTTTGAATCGCAATTCCATAATCTTCCGTCCATTGCAAGCTCCCTGCCGTGATGTCAACAGCACAAGGGTCCCCGGCCGGAGGAACAATCCGCCGCCACGGGTAACATCGGCGGTGACCTCAAGCTTGACCGCACGAAGTCATGCGTGACGTCCAAGGTTTTATCGCTTCCTGGGCTGAGCTTCTCGACATCTCTGCCGCCAGAAAGAGATCCTTCTTGGTCATGAAAGATGAGTCTCTCCGCCCTCCCGCTCGTGGGCCCGACATCTCCCGTCACCGTGTTTCGGCTCAAGGGAAACGCGTGAGGTCCTGAAATCAAAAGCACGCTCCTGCGACCCCGCCGGGCAATGCTCAAACAAAAGGACTAGAAAACAACAATCGGCTTTCGTCGTTGAATTTGTCTCTGGTGTTGGCTGCGGATCAAACGCAAGGCGTTTTTGCACCTAGATTTGTCCGGCATCAGCGAGTTTTGCGCCCACTGCTGTTTTACACCGGAACAGCCTCGCCCATCTGCTTTGACCATGGTCTCAGCGGTGTCGTTTGGCCAAGCGGGGACCGCTGAGCGGGCCATCCGTCACAGTCACTTTTTCAGACTACCCATTGAGCTGCGGGAAATGATATACATCCACCTTTTCCAGCGAGGGAGGATCCATCTCTGGTATTTCGACGACCAGCACCCAAAGGCTTTCCGGCAGGGCTGGCGGCACACAATCTGCCGCCGTTCCACCGATTATGGGAATGATCGGTGTAGAGCCCATCCCGCCGCAGCCGAGAGGAGCTTTTTGACCCCCGAGCACGCCAAAACGGCACGTCTGCAGGTGTTTGGATGGCTAATATGCTGCCGAAGAGCGTGGGTGGCCCCCTCCCCCCTGATTTCGCTACGTGATGTAGTTAGTTTCTCCCTACTCCCGATCGCTCTCTCACCACTTGTCTTCGAGGCACAGGTACTCCGAGTCCGTCCACTTTCTTTACTCCTGCAACACCTTCTCCGTGGAGCCGAATTACTTTCCGCCGTTCTCCAAAACGGAGCGTTTATTTCCGCGCAACTGTCTGTCGTCAGTCAAATCGCTTGAGCTCCTCTACCCGGTTGCGACGTATCGCGACACGCTTATCCTCGATACCTTCACCTCCACGATTGCACTGGTTCCCTCCATCTTCCCGCGCCTACGCACATTCCACGTCGCGATCAGCTCCTGGTGGATGCTATGCGCCTTGGAGCACTGGGAGGCGTTTACCTCAGACCACACGCAGCTGATGAAATCGGAATTACTAGGGACACTGGACGGGCTCGTACGGCGGTTTGACGGTCGTTTAAAGGAGTGCGAGGTGACGGTGGACCCCAATTACTACGAGATTGTGAGGCTGTTGGAGGACGAGGCAGGAAGTTCACTCCCGGTTGAAATCCCGGTCCTCAACTGGACGACGGAATTGCTGGGGAAGAAATACTGGAGAGCGCTGGATCAAGCTGGCGACCTTCAGAACTCGAAACTAGGATATTGGATCATCATGGCCCCTTGATCTTTCTGAGGTTTGAGTTATGCTTTGAGCAGCCGCACATTTGGCATCAAGCCTTGCTTTTTATAGCTTTACTCGTGATTTTTGGACATGTGCTGTCTCGCGTTCGTCAGCAATCGTCCCGACTAATTTAACTAATTGCCAGGCCATGTAGAAACATCAAATATATATATATATATCTCAAATCATCAGCTGCGAACTCCCGATATAATGCTTACCCACTTCATCCCTTTTCTAGATATCTTCCCGTTACATCACCGTGCAATCCGGAGGCTCGTCACGGCTTTGTTTCATCCGGATCCCGAAATCAGGCTCCACCTTGTTCCAATAGAGATGATGTATCATGATAGGTTTTGTGTTCTGAAATACTTCAGCGAATACCCGCATGCATTCTTCGTCTCTGTCGCGAAGCATGAGAGTCACGAGTGACGCCCTCTTTTGTCCTGATATGGCCGGGTTGGTGTGTTCATACACCTCGACCCACAGCGGGTTACGGCGTTCTTTCAGCTTGTCCTCGGCCATCATGAACAGCGACATCATCAGCGAAACCACCGATACATAGTTTATGCCTGAGATCGGTCGCAGTTGGCTGGAGATATCCGTCGCGATATCGAACTTTGACAGATCTAACAGCTGTGCGTCTTTGAGCATCCCCTTTTTGGGCTGACGTATCGTGTATCTTGAAGGATCAGGAATTGTAGCCAAAATGCTCTCTGGGATTTCCTCCTCCTTCGTCAATTCCGACAGCATAGATGTCGATTCAATCATGGTTGCATCGTCCATTCCCCTAGCCCTGTAACGCTTGACAATGTCTGTATCCTCCAGGACCTTCTGCCCCGTCACAGGGTCCGTTGTGCGCTTTGCCTGGTGAATGCGGAGCATCGCCAGGGTCGAGGGAATGTTGACGTCCTCGTCTGGAATACGATCAAGGTCCCAGTCCGCATCACGATAGCGTCGAAGCCAGGATCTGGCTGTGAAAAAACGGTTGCCGGCAGGGTTTAATAAACCGTGCGTTCCTGCTGCGGCCTGACGAATCGCCCGACGCTGGTGAAATGCGTGACGAGTACCGGTCTTGCCGATCATTTCAAGGAAAGCTTCGATGTAATTAGAGGAGGGTGCTTTGCCATTGGGGAAAAAAGAATCTGGGAAGAGGCCCGTCAGAATGTCAAGCATCTCAACTGGTTCTTTGAGATAGCCTTCCTGCACCAGCAAGTTATGCAGATGTACAAGACATAGTGGTTCCGGTATATTATCCCACACGAGAAAGGCCGTGGTGCACGCTAAATCTAATGCTTCCACCAGACCAACACCACAGAGGAACGGAGAATATTCCCAAAGGCCGTTGGAGTTTGTGTTTGAAAAGCGAGATGGCGGTATACCAGTCAAACCGTGCATATACTTTGATTCCCCGAGCCAGTCTACAAAGTCTTCAAGTAGATTTTCGAGGAGTATTTTCGAGTCTGCGTGCCTATTGGGATCACCATGCAGCATAGCGTCCCTCTCTGCTAATTGCACAAAGACCGTGACTGAGGTGCAAAACCCTTTCAGAAATTTCTTAGACTCACGGTCCATAAAAAGGTCAACATCTCTCCGTGCGCGGAAATCTCGAGCCGGTTCCGTAAGGACATGGCCTCGCAAGCTACTGACCAGCCAGCCCCGGGACACGCACAGAGAATCGACGATACATTGGAGCTGAAAGACGTGATGAGGGAGGATCCTCGGTCGAACATCGGTGCCGGGCTTTTGCATTGCAAGACTAGTGATGACGCCGGCGAATTCATTCAAGCCAAATAATGTTCGATGCTGGCTCCATGGCCCATTGACGGACCAGTCGACAGTCTCCAGAACGATCCTCTGCCCTTTCAAATTCCGGCGTTGCACAACAACCCCGGAACAAAGGTTGACCAAGTCATATAACCAATTAATTGTATAAATCCGGCGCCACTGGATACGCTGTTCTTTCGTAGCCCGTGCAAGATTAAAATCTGGGCTCCAGTTTTGAATCTCAGCGAGCATTGACTTGCTAGGTTTGCCATCCCGTGCGATCTGGTAATCTGTGACAAAGTCGAGTAGGGCGCGATATGTGTGAATAAGGAATTGCTCCTTCACATCAACATCGACTTCTTGGACCACTTGACCTCCCCGACCATTGTTGTCCCAGCAATGTTGCGACATGTGGAACATGCCCTGAGCCTTATCGGGTTTGCCCCGGACGATGGTGTTCATGACAGTGTCAAAAGAGTCATGCCCTGGGAAATCAATGAAGATCTTTGTTTCTGTCCTCCTGATCATTGCCACCGCTATGTTGGAAACAGCGCCTGCGACCGCGCTGTTTAGACCTTCGTATGCCACTTCATGCCACAAATCCTGGATATAATGGCGAAGCTCGACCCATTGCGAGGCTAGCGAGTAGACAGCCATCAAATAGTCAGTAATGATCCCGGATTCATCCTCAATGATGCGATATGCTTCCAGTGGTAAATCCTCCTGGTCTGGCTGGGCGGCAGAAGGCTTCTTGCCCTTTCCTTTTGATTTCTTCCCCTTTTTGCCCCCCTTCTTCTTCCTATTTGCCGGCTTCGGCTTTGGCTGTACTGGTGCATCTCTGGTCTCATCTTCCTCTTCGTTGTCTTCGATCACCTCGCCGTCCAGGTTGAGAGCCGAAAACTTGTTCGAGAAGATAACCTCCTCTTCGTCCTCGTCATCGTCCACTGCTTTCTTCTCGTTTCGTGTTTCAGCAATCCAAGAATCGCCACCTAGGGTCTTGAACGCCTTGGTAAGACCGTCGATCCAGTGCTTATTAGTCGCGTTGCTCCGTTCGATGTCTGGATCTGGGTTGTTGGCGACGACCCGGCGGAAGAGAGAGTGTGTTTCGGTTCTTGCATCAATGATAGACTGGAATAGCTTGTAGATCGTGGCGGGAATGGGCTTATGTGCCTCGCGATGAGCTCCGACAGGGACAACAGGGTCTGCAAGTTGACCTTGCCAGAGGTGTTCCTGGCGATTGGAGGGTCAGGAGGAAAGGACTTGATGAGACGATTGGAATTCTTGACAATCCAGTAGATGAGGAGTCCTTCATCGCGCTTGTACTTGAGGTAAGTGTTGTGAGTAGCCATCGCAACAACAGCCAGAGACCGCTCGACGCTCGACGGCCGACAGTCGATGGGCGAGTGCGGGGACGCACCACATCTTCACTCTCGAGTTATAGCAACTGGCTATGAATAGGCTTATGTAACTATACCAGACATCTCAACCGCGCCGTGGAGCAAGACGAGGTTCGCGTTCTCCACGAGAGACGGGCAAGCATCTGATAAGGGAGTTCAGTCCAGGGATCGAGTGTTGGCCTGGGACCAGCATCGCAGTATCTCCGGCCCCTGCCAGCGCCAGATATCAGATCAGACGTGATCAATTGACTCCCATCGCATGTCTCGCGCTCCCTGGGAATGATCACCACTAGTTAACTAACTAGTTAGTTAACTATGCATTCGGAAGACGAGTCCTAGCGCCGGGATCTTCGCAGCGCAACCTCGCCATGACGCCTGCACAGCTTCAAGTCCCGAGGGCCGGGGAGTTGACATTGCCGGATATCATCTCGCCCTGCGGCACAGGAGCGGAGGTCGGTTTAAATATGCTGATCAGCAAAAGAAAGAAAGAGAGAGCGAGAGAGAGATCCTGGTGCGCAATCTGCTTTTATCAGTGCCGGGGATATTGGTTTGAACCGATTTGATACTTGCCGGTGCCCAGAGTGATATACCAGCTTCCTACAAGGAAAAAGGCACAAGATGTTGTTCAAATCAGCACATCCTGAGATTCATCGTAAGGAATCTGGCTTTGTCGCTTTTTCTCAACACTGGTCCAATTTGGCTGTTTATCCATCGAACTGACATGTTACTCTCTGTGATACATAGCTCCCACGGGTGTCACCGTATGGCAGTGGCTTTTTGAATCCCCAGAAACCTCTCCAGTCTACAAATTTCCGCCAAACAAGCTCGCCGGATACACAAATGCTGTAACCAAGGAGAGGGTCAACTGGGCACAAGTTAAAGAGTATGCGACGTATGCGAGTACTGCACTGGTGAGGAACTATGGGTTGCAGGAAGGGCAAACGATTGCGCTCTTTACCCAAAATACGATTTGGTATCCGGTTGCCATGTACTCCACCATAAGAGTCGGCAAGTCTGCCTTGTGGAGCTGCTACCCTCCAATTCTGCGCTAATAGAGGGACTATTCAGGCTGCATGGTTGCCGGCGCTTCACCGGCCTATAATGTTGAAGAAATGACCTATGCCCTCAAGACTGCGGATGCAAAGTTCTTGATGACAACTCCCGGCTCTATCGAGGTAGCTGTAGCGGCAGCCGAAAATACTGGTATTCCACGGAAGCATATCTTCTTGCTTGAAGGGGCAGTGGAAGGCTACACCACATTCAAACAGCTCCAGGAAATTGGAAGAAGTTATGGTGAAAGTGGGCAGGTGGCGCCATATCAAATTCGACCAGGAAGAACGAATAAAGAACTCTGTGGTTTTCTTAATTTCAGTAGTGGAACTACCGGCTTGCCAAAGGCTGTAGGTCCTTTCCCACTGCGAGAGGATATCCTGTTAGCGAGTACATCGATGAATTGCTGACAGACATTCATAGGTCATGCTTTCCCATCACAATGTGATTGCGCAATGCATGCAGCTGAAAATGATTACTCCACCCGTTGGCACCAGGACAGCCATGGGTGCCCTTCCCCTTTTCCATAGTAGGTTTACTCTTAGGCAAACTCGTGGCAGAGATGTGGATGAGCAATTATACTGATAGATCATAGTCACCGGCCTTGTCAAGTTTATGAACTGCCCCATATTTTTCAATGATGAGCTCGTCATGCTCCCACAATTCAACATGGAACTCATGCTCCGGACCATCGTTGAATACCAAATCAGCGAGCTCACTCTCGTCCCACCCCTCGTGATCCGCCTCGTGAATGACCCCATCGTAGCTAACTACGATCTTTCCTGCGTAAAGCGGATATCCTGCGGTGCAGCGCCGCTCAGCGAACAGCTCACTCAACTCCTCCAAAAGAAGTTTCCACAATCTGGATTCAAACAGGGGTACGGAATGACCGAATCCTGCTCATGCATTACGTCCCATTCCCCAGAGTATTATGATTATAAATACGCCAACACGGTCGGAAACATCGTCGCCTCCACCGCCATCAAGATCATTGACGATCAGGGCAAGGAACTTGGATACAATCAGCCAGGTGAGATTCTCGCCAAGGGCCCCCAAATTGCCATGGGATATCTTGACAATCCCACCGCCACGGCCGAAGCCTTTGACAAAGATGGTTTCCTCCACACTGGCGACATTGGGTATATGACGGAGGACGGCCTTCTGCGTATCGTCGACCGTATCAAGGAGATGATCAAAGTCAAAGGCATCGCGGTTGCACCGGCGGAGCTGGAAGATCTACTGCTTGGCCATCCGGACGTTGCAGATTGCGCAGTGCTGGGCGTCAAAGACGATTATGCGGGCGAAAGGCCCAAAGCATACGTTGTGTTGAGAGATGGGCTGAAGCCTTCGGAGGAAGTGGGAAGGCAGTTGATGAAATATGTCAAGGAGCGAAAAGCGAGATTCAAATGGGTAGAGGAGATTGAGTTTGCAAATGCGGTGCCAAAGAGCCCGAGTGGGAAGATTCTGCGGAGGATCTTGAGAGAGCAAGACAGGGGCGGCCAAAATAGGGGCCTCGTGGTGAAGGATGATGGGCAGGGAAAGCCAGCAGCGAAGCTGTAGCTATTTGCTCTTCTAATTAGATATATTATATCGTCTATAAGAGGAACTCTCAATAAATTTTACAGATGTGTTCCTTTCCTTTTGGCGTCTCCTCCTTTCTTCTCGCGAATACACTCCTCAGCCAGTACCCGGCAACCAACGCATAGTACTTTGCTAGGCTCAGCCATCTCTTTGGACTTACTTTCCTCGCTGGCTTCTTCACCCGGCACAGATAATACAGAATCACCGTTGCAAACACATTGAACGCAATATATCCCCAGCCGATACCAAAGTTCCGCCAGCGCTGATTCCATGATATCTCGGAACCGGCAAGGAACTGGTCACTGGAAGACAAGGAACAATACTCGCACCCACGAGTCGCAGAGGGATTGTTGAGCCTACCCGGGGCGCCGAGAGCAAAGTATCTCTCGAGATATTGGCCGCATGTAGCTCCTGCCGGCGGGTCAAATGTGGCGAGCTCGTTGGGAGCGCAGCGGACCACGCGCCCATGGAGAACCGTGGCTGCCAAACCACCAACAGTATATGTCAGCGGGGAGACGCGCCACATGAAAATCCAAAATCCTGGAAGGGCTCTGGGAGTTTGCAAGACACCGTTGAATGTGAGCATCAAACTGAACAGAGTAGTGGCAATGTTTCCGGCTGTTTCGGCATCGGGCAAACCCGCAATGACCATCTGCGCAAAGGTAGAAGCGAATATGAAGAATTGAATAGTGTAAATGACGAATAAGCCCTGTCTTTCAGAGGACTGATGCACTCCGAAAACGGGGTAATAGAGCGAGGCCCAAACGATCACACCAAGGAAGATTTGATAAGGAATTTCGACTATTACGTTTGCTAGGAGGAACGCTTTCCAACTATATGCTCGAGACGGGCGTTCACGGACTTCAAAGAGACTCCGCTGGGTGACAAATCGTGGCATAATCTGCAGAGAGGTGAGTAACTTCACACCGAACGTAGGGTATGGTAGCAGCTAACCTGCTGTACAAGTGTGCTGAAAATTGTGGTAAGCATGAAAATGGAAAATAGGGTATTCTGGAGTCCGGCGATGGACGTATTCTGCATATAGAAAGAGAATCCACTGGGATGTATGTCAGAATCCGAATCCATAGCTGGAAATTATAGCAGAGAGGGAGATGCAATGCTCACATGAAAACTCCTGCCATGAAACCTAGGAGAAGCTTCCCCCAGATATAAGACGGAGTCCTCCAATATTGTTGGAAAACACGAACAGTAACGTAATAGATCTGAGACCTAAAAGGCATCGCAAATTCGCTTGTCGGGCCTAATGAGTCTTGAGGCGACTCATCCTTCTCCTTTTCTGCATGGATGCGATCTATTTCCTCCTGGACCTTCCGTGCTTCTTCGCTTTGATTCCATATAGTCGGCCAGTCTTGCTCTGACTTGCCGCTTGGACCTGCTCCAACAACATTTAGCATGTATTCGGCAGGGTTATCATTAGGCCCGCAAGGCTCAGCGCCATTAGCTTCGAAGTAATCGAGAAGCGTGCGCGAACTCTCCCCGATATCACCAAAATACACAGTTTTGCCCCCTTTTGCTAGGAATAGCAATCGATCAAACTCCTGGAATAGGATAGCCGACGGCTGATGGATAGTCGACAGCACTGCCTGCCCGTTATCCGCAAGCTTTCGTAGAAACTTCACAATCGACCATGAGCTTTGCGAATCGAGGCCCGATGTAGGCTCGTCCAGAAACAGGAGAAGAGCCGGCTTAGCGGCGAGTTCAACGCCGATTGTGAGAAGCTTGCGCTGCTCTACATTGAGCCCTTCTCCGGGGTTTCCAACAACAGCCTCGCTGAAATCCCGCATGTTCAACATGTCAATGACGTCCTCAACGTATTCGTATTTCTCTGCCTTTGAAACGGATTGCGGTTGACGGAGCATTGCGGAAAAGCGAAGGGCTTCGCGAACTGTTGTCGTTTCCAAGTGAAGATCTTGTTGTTGAACATATCCTGTCTTTCGCTGGAAGGACATGTCTAAAGGCTTGCCATTCACGAGCATATCACCCGTAATAACGCCGGTAGTGGTTCGTTGAGCAAGTGCATCCAACAAGGTAGTTTTCCCTGCGCCTGAAACGCCCATCAAGGCAGTAAGGGTTCCGGGTCGTACCCAGCCGGAGACGTTGTCTAGGAGCCGTCTTGGTTCACCTTTGATGCGTATGTCGTACACAACATTTCTCCAAGTAAAAACGTCTTTCTGGGGAGGGATAACATTGACTGTTCCTTCGCCAGGGGTATCTTCAGGAGAAACATTTGAACTTTGCTGAAGCGCGCCAGTATCCTTTTCCTCATCCTGATGCTCGATAAGACTTTTGGGAGCATGCCCACGACGAAAGACCAGGTACTCGGCCGCAGATATACTGGAAAGATTGTACTCGGTTGCAAAGAGGTATATAGCGTAGAAGAAAAGCATGAACCCAAAGAGGATTCCCAAATTCCTCCATATGTGCGCATAGCTGTAACCGTAGCTTGACTCAACCCAACGATCTCCAGAAACAGTCCTTTCGCCAGGAACTGCGCCAGCCACGGCGCATTCGAAGTTATTTCCAGTTCCATACGGAGGCACAAGCGTAGAACAGTCGAATCGTCGACCATGTACTTCGTTAACCAGAATGGATTCAAACCCATAAGAAACTGGATTAATCCAGCTTATCCACTTGAACCAGGGGTGCCTATCGAAACGTTAGAAAACCACACATATGACAATTGCATGAACCAAGCGGTATGGAAAACCTGAGTGCTGTAATGCACGTACATATAAGATCGCTGGATCGTAAATCCCGTATATATAACTATAGCGAGGATCATGACTCCAGCAAATGCTAGAGCTTGGGAAATGGTCTTGGTAATAGCAGCGAGGGTGCGGAAAATGGCCGACATTGTCAACATCGTGATAAACGTGAAAAGGAAGAAGATGAAGAATTGGGACGGTTCCCTCCTTAGCCCGCCCAAGAAGTAGAGAATGATGTTGAATACTGTTGCTATGACGAACTTGATCGGGATATCAGAGACAACGCCGGCTAGTGCCTCTACATAAGCATGGTAGAAAGCAAAGCTGACATGTTTCGCAACAATCGGCCGTTGCAATCTATTAAGTGGTTAGAATTCGTAGCAGGACTAGGGATTGATTTGTGTTCTTACAAAGCCTGCAAATATTGATTAGCCAGAGTCCGATATTGGTATGAATCGATAACGGAAACAACTTACCCATTGATTTCGGTGATTGACATCAAGCCGTTCAGAAGAATAGCGAAAAACAAGATCGATCCTTTGGCGAAAAAGCTATCTGTGGTCTCGGGAGTTCCGTAAAAGATAGACCCGATGATCAACGACATCACAACCTGGCTAATAATAACTGCAATCGTGGACGCTTTGTCTCCCCATATACGCTGGTATGCGCGGACCATACAAAGCTGAAGCTGCATGAATATACTAATGGTATAGGGAGACTTCTTCGGGACATGCTTTGCCTGGGCTTGCTGGTGAGCTTCACGTTGTGCGGCCAACGTCTCGTCGACCTCGGGATGTTCAATCTCGCACTCTTCTATTTCGGTTTGTAGATCCTGAAACTGTTGGGATCGAAGCCAATATTGTTCGAATTCCGCTGCAGTCCGAGGCACCTTGCCTTCAAACCCTTCTCTGGGCCTTCGCTCTTCGGGATTGGTAACAGAGGTGAGAAAGTCACCTGTGGTCTGTCGTTGGGGGCAAAACCATCCCATATCCTCAAAGTACCTTTTCGCTGACTTGGCCGGGCCGAAATATATCTGTCGCCCTTCGTAGAGTACAATCGCCTTGTCGAAGAGATCATATATAGCTTGACTAGCTTGATAAATAGCAAGAAGCTGCGTCATTCCTGCAACATGGGACCCAACTTTCAGAGCACGAGTAAACTCAAGCGCTGTCGCTGCGTCGAGGCCTCTTGTAGAGTTATCCCAGCACACCACCTGCGAGCCAGCAAGGGACAATTCCGCAATGCTTACTCGTTTCCGTTCTCCTCCGCTCACGCCGCGAACGTAGTCATCGCCAACCTTGGTGTTCTTCGTATGGCTCAAGCCGTAGATGGTCATCACTACTTTGGTGACATGCTGCGCGAACACCTTTCTCGGAATGCCCATAGGTCTAACCGACGGAGTTCGTGCTGCAGCTGCGAATTCAAGGGTCTGGCCCACCGTCAAATGCGGGAAATGTTTCTCATCTTCTGCACTGTACGTTGCCTCGCCGCGGAACTCCTTGTTGAAAATCTCCTGAGGCACTCCGTTGTAATGGATCACAGAATCCTCCGACTTCTCGAGCCCTTGCAGCTCCCCACTGAGAGATTTGAGCAATGTGGAACATCCACTGCCCGGTCGACCCAGCACGATCAGCAATTCACCTGCATGTAAACACCCGTTGAAGTTCCTCAAGATTACTTTCTGTGACTTCCTGCCAAAATATTCCCGTAATCGGAACGGCGCCAACAGCGGGGAGAGGACGTTGTTTTGGTAGTGCATGGCAGCCCCTGAGCCAGACACGCTGAGGTTCTTGAAGACGACGCCCGTCCGCGTATGCTTGATGCCCTCTTCTTCTATCAGTCTCATAAACATCCGCGCCCATTTGTAGAAATCGAATTCTGGACTGGTGGGATCCAGAACCGGATCTCCAACCTGGATGCCCGCCAAAGTATCACGACGCTGCAGCTGTGTGCCATCGCCAGCTTGCCGAGTGGATGTCCGCGAAAGCACAGCCGCAATTTGGGCGTTTTCACTTCCATCATCAGACGAAGAGAACGTCCTCACTGCCTCGTAAACAGGGCCATCGTCGTCGGAGAGATCGGTCGAGGACTCTGTTGCACGAGGCCCGCGACGGTGATTCTCAGGTTTATGGCCGGCGGAGGGAGTATCGGAAGGAGGAGACGTAGGGCTCATTGCAAGTGGATGTGTAGATGGGACAGTCCCTTCAGCAGCATTCCCACCAAAACCGTCTGTGAGGTTCACTCAAATTATAGGTCTGCCGAGAATTCTCCAAAGTTTCACTGCTGCCCGGGACTCGAGATTTTGAGTTACTGGAAGTCTGGCCATTCCCGTCCGTTTCGGGGAGGTCTTGTTATATTAAAGTCCAGTGATTTCCCTGGATCGCAAGTCGTCATTGCGGCCACGAACTCTGTATATTCGAGGAAATTCGTCACACTCCACAGCCGCTAGTTAAGCCTCGCAAAGGTATCCAAGACGGGCCGGACGAGCAAGCCGTAGCTTGTGTTGGATGCACAACTGGCATCTGTTGCACAAGTCTCCAGGCTCGTTGGGATCCGTAGTTGTGAAGTCAATCCGGATTTGCAAGATCGACAGCATCACCAACCACAGCTGCAGGCTGAGAGATTTAGGTTATGGTTGACCCATATTAATAGCATCATCGCTGGAGAACTCTCGCCACGCTGGATGAGCCGGGCGTCGGGACGACGGGACGAGTTTGCGCCGTCCCTGCTGAGCGGAATCTTCAGGAGCAGCTTCAAGTCGGATTCGGGAGTCATTTCAATTATTTCCTGTGAATAAATGTATGTATATAATAGAAACACTTGCCACCCTCACAACCCCAAGCAGGCCGGGATAATACTCTTTTACCGCTTTGCATTCGATATTGTATTGACAAAGGAACGCCGCAAAATGACCAACTAACCCGTCACAAAAATTTTCCAAAAAACGCCTGTAGCAACCCCAACTGCATGCAGGCCATTTTATTTCTTTCTACCTTTTGATTTGGTCGTTGCTGTAGTGGATGACACGCTCGCCGCCCTTGAGGTCGCAGCTGATGTTGCTTTGCTGCCGCTGGATTGTACAGCTTTGAGCTTCTTGTTCTACAGTGAGAAGACAAGTTAGTTTATCAATCATTATTTCAAACCGGACCTACAAGCTTACCACTGCGCCATTCTTCGACTTTTTCTTCACGGGGCCGTCCATTTCGCCGTTCTCGAGCTCCTCATCGCGGTCCCGACCCCGTCCTTTACCAGTATCGCCATTGGCAGCCTTCCCATCAGTTTCAAATTCTTTGGCGACCGTATTCAGCAGGGTAGTGCACCTGCGGCTGATTTCAACCGGTGTGCGGCTCAAAAAGAACCAATCGAACCGGAAAAGAGGGCTCTCTCTAATCTCTTCACGGATCTTCTCATAAAGGCCCTCGCCGTCCACACCGTGTTTATCCAGCATAACAAGCAAAAATCGGTCTTCCTCCTCTGTATAAACTTTCTTGTTCGTAGTTGACACATTGTAGTTGATCTTGAGTTGCTGAAGCGGGACTCGATACTGCTCCATTTTCTTGCGAAGTAGTTTGCGTTGGTGATTCATCTTGCGCACCTTCTCTTCACCCTGTTCAATGGATCGCAAATACTTGGGATACTCCTGGAGTTCTGTATACCGTTTCCAGAAAACTTTGGCATATTCTTTTATCTCTTCGGGAGTTTTGCTATCGACTTCTGTGGAAATACCCTGGTAATCTGTTCTGCCAAATTTGGCAGATCCATTGATGAACTGCTGGAAATCACGGCGGTTCCAGTTGGCAAATCCTTGCTCAGATAGCTTCTCTTTCTCCGCTTTCTCTTCTTCTGTGAGAGGAACTGCATTATCGATTTCTTGCTGCTCAAGTTCCCGTTCGGCTTCTCTATCGCTCAGATCTTCTTCTGTGCCCTCCGGGAGAACAGCCTTGTATCCAATCTCCTTGTGAAAATAAGCAGTTTCCTTGTCCTGCAGTTCTCGAAGTTTGGATGGGAAGAATTGCCAATCGTGCACAGCAATCTGTTTCGGAGCTCTCGGTACTTTTGGCTTAGTGTCAGCTGTCCGACCCCCAGTGGGTATTGTTTGCCTATAGTAATTATCAATAGAGTACGATTGCTCCTTTCGTTCGCGTTTGGCCGGATTAATCCAGTTGAGGCCAATATCTTTCTTGCGATTAGTGAAATCTTCTCCATTCCATTCGTATGCGTTGTCAGATGTAAATTTCTGGAGATCATCAATGCCAAGTTTCTCGTACTTCTTGTTGAGCTCGGCGGTCCTCTCTTCGCCCTTTTTCAGGATCTGGTCGATATCGTCTTCAGAGAGTTCTTTCCCCCCGCCCAGGGTACCAGTAGCGCCGGAACTGCTAAAAACGCTAGCTGCACCGTGCTGGATCATATTGAGAAGTTCATCCTTCGAAGCCGCGTTCTTTGTTTGCTGCTGAGCACGGCCTTGTTGGATAACTAGTTGATCTAACCTAAGTTTTTGTGCAGCTCGCTCCAGCACCTTTTCTTCAATCGCGTTCTCTGTAACGAATCTGAAAACCACGACTTGTTTTGTTTGGCCGATGCGATGTGCTCTGTCCATAGCCTGCAAATCAGCTTGTGGGTTCCAGTCACTGTCGTAAAGTATGACGATATCGGCCGTGGTGAGGTTGATTCCCAAACCACCGGCTCTCGTCGTCAGTAAGAATACAAATTTCTCCGAGCCTGGCCGGTTATACTCGTCAATTGCCGCAATACGATCCTCGTGGGCTGTTGACCCGTCGATTCGGCAGTAGGCATGTTCCCTGAAGACACAGTAATCTTCCAGGATATCGAGGACACGGCTCATTTGGGAAAATATCAAGACTCTGCTACCTTGAACTTTTAGCCGTTTTAATAGTTTATCGAGAATAACCATCTTCCCAGCGTTGTCGACCAAGTGTTCGTCGGTTGTATATGGCGGACCAGGCTCCGCACCTTCAAAAAGGTACGGGTGGTTGCAGCATTTACGAAGCTGCATGACAATGTTCAAAAGCCTCGTTTTCGATTCTCGCTTGCCTTGTGCACCGTTTACGGCATCGATGTCTTTTTCCAAGATCTTCTGGTACCATTTAACTTGCATCTCTGACATGCCAATGTAGAGATTGACTTCTTTCTTGGGGAGCAAGCTCTTCTCAACATCGGCTTTCACTCGTCGCAGTAAGAATGGCCGTAAAACCCGATGAAGTTGTGAAACAACCGTGTCCTGGTCAGCCTCTTGATTGGAGAACCATTGATCGAATGCCTCAGAATCACCGAAAACATCGGGCAAAAGGAAGTTGAGCAGGGCCCAAAGTTCATGTAGATTGTTCTGGAGCGGAGTGCCGGTAATGAGCAGCCGATTTCGCGAGTTGAATAGGCGGATGATTTGAGCGAGGGACGATTCCTCATTTTTGATACGATGAGCCTCATCCACAATAATGTACTCCCAGGCAAACTTTTTCAGGTGGGATTTTTCCCGGAGAACCATTTCATAACTGGTGATGCATACGTCAAACTTTTCGTCAATGAGGCGGTCGTTGATAAGTTGATGGCGTTCTTCCTTTGCACCCTGAAGGACGAGGACATTAACTTCCGGTGTCCATTTTGAGAACTCTCTGTTCCAGTTGTCCAAAGTCGACTTGGGAACTGTAACCAAGTGGGGACCCGTAATGCCGCAGACATGTCTTAAGTACCCCAGGAAGGATATTGTTTGCAACGTTTTGCCGAGACCCATTTCATCGGCGAGGATTCCCGAAATGCCATTTTCATGCAGCGAGATCAGCCAGTTAAGGCCAGCAACTTGGTAATCTCGCATCTGGCCGCCCTTGATGAACGCGGGGGACTCCCGAAACACCGTCTCCGCGGGTCCTCCTTGCTTTTCGTCTTTTAAGAGCTCCGCATCTTCTTCCTGCTCAGTCCGTCGGCGACGGTCCCCACTGGCACCGCCTTTACGCATCAGACTTTTCTTCTTTTGTGTTTCGTTCTCATTCTGACGATCAATCTCTGACATGATTTCCTTGATTCGTGGGTTGGGGTTGGTATCTATGAAGTGGCGAAACAAGTCTGTAAGACCAAGCAAGTAGCGGAACCTTCGAATCGAGTCATCCTCTTGTTGGCAGAGATAAGTCAGTCATACACGCTTATAGTCAGCCTCAATTCCTCGGCGTCGCACCTTTGACTCGTCGAGACGGCCGTGTTTCTTGCCCAACACTGATTTGCGGAGTTGAAAGGCCTCCGATCTGCGTTTGCGGCCATCAAACGGAGCCGCATCGCCAGCAACGCTACTCGCCGTGGTGTTGGGGTGTGTGTCCCGAATCCTATCAAAGTTAGTCGGTCCACTATTGCGGATATTGAAATACGAGATTGTCGAAAAGCCAGGATGTATGCTTTACCGTGTAATCGGGCGTGTCTTGATAATCCTGCAATGCTCAGAGTTAGTATCGATCCCGAACAATATAAACCGAGTAGTAAATATCAGGGCTAGCGCAAATTCGCGAACTGGACCGGGGACAAGCATACCGTCATAACTTGATCGGCGCGGTCTCCCGCAGCATTCGTCGACGGACCTCCACTGGGTTGGGCCGTAGGGGCATCCCCTACCAACGAATCCTCAACGCCAGGCGAGGAAGCCATGGGAACAGGTAACCAGGGTTTGGTCTATGGCCAGTGACTCGAGAGAAAACGCGTAAAAGCGGCCTGCAGATATCTATACGAAGCTCAGAATTGCCGCAACGGAATCAGAATGGAAGTTCGGGCAAGCTGTGGTGGATAGAGCCGGTCGTGGGTGGAGGAGCATGGCCAGGTTGACGGGCGAGAAGGCGAAAGGGTGAGAGAAGAATCGAGTGCTGGGGGCATGTCCCAAAGAGAGCAAACGCGCGGGAAGCCCAGCTCATGTAAGCTTCGGCCGGATTGGGACGCGCTGATTGGCTGGATTGAAGTGACTAAGCAGGCTTGGCAAGAATGATGTCGGACTGGAATAATAATCTTCCATTGCGTATTGATACCGTAACGACAAAGATCTGTTACTGTGGAAACCAAACACGCAATACGATTCGATACGAATGACTCAGCAGTGGCTTGACCTTTTGGCTGTTGAGCGAGTGCAACTTGAGTGGATTTCGAAGTTGCATCGCTTCGATCATTTGGCCCTGTGCTGTGTGTTGGTCTCCAGGCTGCGTGAGAGAGATTGTGACTGTCGTTTATTGCAGCAGTCGACAGAGCATTTCGGCCCTTCATCTACCTTGCCATTTATAATTCAAATTTTTGCCGTTGTCATACAAACTTGGAACACCCCACTTCTCGTTCCCTTCCTTCACGGCCAGCAATAGCTTTTCTAACCTGCCGCAACCAACGGAACACCTTCCACTTGGACGTCGGCCACAGAGAGTCGAACCACCGGTCTTTGTTGTCAGCTCATATACTGCTCCGTCATGGACTCGATGCGGTCGCTAAACAGCTCCTTGCCTTCGAACTCAGCACCACAGCCTCCCGAGGTCCTCCTGCAGGCGTTCAAAGCCGCCGCTCTCTCCGTCACAAACCTTTACAAAAGTGCCGTTTCCGATCAAACACAGCTACGGAACCTCGGGTATCAGGATGCTTTGGAAGACCTGCGGGCATTTCTCGACAAGGAAAGAATAGGACTGAGTGATGGGGAGGGATCCAGAATCCGGAACTGGATAGCGGACCGGATTGATGGCACAGGAGTGGCCGGAAATGACAGTGACGATGAAAGATTGGATTCAGAAAAACGAAACCGAAGCACCTCGCCCAATGCTGTACGAAAAGAGCCCTCAGAGCCGAATCGACACTCCCGATCAGCATCTCCCCCCCGCACTGAGCATGCTGCTCAACCTCTACCCCCTTCTTCAAATGAACCAGCCGTTTTTGCTCGCCCTGCCATGTTTACGTTCACTGCCGGTCCCCAGTTTCCGTCCCCGCCAGAAGAGGACTCTGATATGCGAACACCTGACGCCCCGATTACGATGCAAAGCGAACCTCAAGTGAACCATCCGCACTTGACACCCTCTTCAGTCCGCCTTGAGGTCGTTCCCCGCGCACCTCGCACCCCTCACCGCAGCAACTCCCGACACAACGGCCGTTCATCGACACGAGATTCCGCAGCAACCATCGGATCGAAGCGAAAATTCCACTTCAACGATTTCTTCGACATTTCGAATATAGGGAATGGGAAAGATGCTTTTGGGGGAGGCAAGCGTGGACGGTTTATATAGCAGGACATTCGATTGCTTTTGACAATAGATGGGAAACATTGCTAGATCGGTTGCGGTCATGATGCATACTCGCGCGCATTCTCTGGAGTTTCTGTCTCCTTTTCTGATGAGCATTTTTGGCATTCCTAGTATACACACCTCGCGGTAGATAAATTCCAACATGATACCCACGGGCCATGAGTCTTAGATCTAAATAATTACCATTGCAAATATAACGCCGTGCTTTCCGGATAAGAATAGCAGCATTCTTCAGGTATTCGAGGTAGAGGGCCCTAATTCATAAACCGCCAAACCCCAAGTCCCACCAACGTCGCTGAGATTGTCACCACCCCAAGCCGTCTCGACCCCATTCTGTATTTCGACCCGCTCTTCAGAATGGCCGCTTCTTGCTGTCGTAGATTTCTCATTCCCGTGATGTAGCTGTAGCCTCCGAGGACGCCGAATGCCGCGCTGCCTATCATCCAAGGATTCGACTCAGTTTCCAAGGCCGGTTTCGATTCGGCGAAGGGCTGGTCGGAGGAGGGACTTACCCAGAAGCCGGCACGCCAAACAGTCGTCCTGGTATTTATCTTTGTCGATCATGCTTTTGATTTCTTTGGGATTTATGTCCCATGGGGTGTCGTCGATGCGACCCATCGCGGTTCCGCTAAAGGACGGAACGGTGGTTGTGACGGTGAATATAGGTATTTCTATAGGACATAATTAGCAAACTACCCAGTCACCCAGAGATAACTCAGCCGTACTCACGAATATTCCCGGGCGTGCAGCAGAAACAGAGTGTTCTGAGAATTGAAGATTTGCGGCCAAACAAACTTCCGATGACCTCAAGGCGGAACGATCCGTGCGATAATTTATCTAGTTAGTTATAGCCGTCAGAAACGAACAACTCCTCTCAGGAATACCATGCAGTTGTCACGATGACCAATTCAATAGAAGCTCTGTATATCTACGACGACCTCAAGTATGTACAGCAAAGCACTCTTGGATCGCCCTCACTAACAGCCCAAACCAGCACTCCCATTCTCGAACACACCTACCGCTCCCGCCCACCGTCCGCGAAAGCGCTCCTCTCGCTCTTCCTCGAACACCCCCCGCCGCGGCCATCGGTGATATATCTCCCCACTGCGACTCCCCCCGTCACTGTTTTTTCTATATTACACGCGAACCTGCTCTTTCTTGTGCCCAGCAGCACCGAAACCGAGCCCCTCCAAGTCCTTGAGTTCCTCCACCGCGTTGTCGATGTTCTCGAAGAATTCGTCGGGGCGCCGTTACTGGCAAGCAAAATCCAGAGTAACTACGATGTAGTGGGCCAGTTACTGAGTGAAATGTGCGATGCCGGCATAGTGTGCAACACGGAGCCAAATGCACTACAGGAGGTGGTGGAGGTGCCTGGCTGGATGAACAAGTTTCTGAGCGGCGTGGGACTACCAGGGTGAGTAGATGACATCCTGTAACTACCATCTTTTGTCTGTTCTGCTGGCTAAGTTCGTCTTGAAAAACCAGTTCATCTCCCTCCCTTGGACCTTCGAACCCTGGAAAGTCCTCCTTGAATACCATGCCTCCACCCAACGGCTTATCGGCCGCAGGACCCGCCATTCCCTGGCGCCGGCAAGGCGTTCGTCACACTTCAAACGAGTTGTACGTCGATATCGTTGAGTCACTGCACGTCACCATTGCACCGTCAGGGCGCGCGCTCTCCGCCATCGCCAACGGGACCATAGCCTTCACCTCCAAGATTTCCGGTGTTCCCAATCTCCTGCTTTCACTAACTGCACCAGGCGGACAGAAGAGTCTAGCGCATAAGCTTGAACTTCCTGTCTTTCATCCCTGCGTACGGCTGGCCCGATGGCGCGAGAGACCGGGGGAACTCAGTTTTGTGCCGCCAGATGGGCGGTTCATCCTCGCCGGCTACGAGGTAGATTTACTCCCTATAGACCCCGATCTAGACGAACCACCGGCACACATGGAGAAACTTTTCCTCCCAGCAACTGTTTCACTTCAAAAGTCTCTTGGACCCAACGGCTTAGACTTTGAAATCCGACTTACCCTAAATACAAACTTCCCAGGCACGCACTTCTCGTCGCGGGGCGGCGGCGGGTCCAACCGCGGATCCGGCACCTCCACGCCATCGTTCCTGGGTAATATTGGCGGCGGGAGCTCCTCTTCCTCTCCTAGCTTAGACGACTTGGTCGTCACCGTGCCCATTCCCCCCTCGGTCAGGTACATCACAGATATCCAAGCTAGTCGGGGAGAAGCGAACTTCATGCCCGGCAACGAATTCCTAGAATGGCGCATCCCAACATCCTCTCGCGATGCAGGAAACATTTCAGGCACCGCGGTCCTGCGATGCACCGTCGTCGGACCCCCCGACGCTGAGCATCCAAAAGAAGAACCCGTCGAGGAAGAACACGGATACGACGGAAATGCGTCTTCCCGAGCCCGTGTCAACCCTCTCCAGAGCTACTACGATGAAGATACTCTAACATCCGAGCGCCGACAACAGCTTCCATCGGAACGCAATAAACCAAAATCCCGCAAACCGCAGTCTAATTCTCTCCTTATGCCCAATTCCGTGTCTGTCTCCTTTTCCGTGCGTGGATGGCTCCCTAGTGGGATTCGTGTTGATGGCTTAGTTGTTGATTCGCGACGGAGTCGAGGCTTGGGTGAAGGCGTGAAACCGTACAAAGGAGTGAAATATATCTGCGTTAGTCGGAGGGGGGTGGAGAGGAGGTGTTGAAATTTTGGATTTTAGCATTTAGAAGCATACATAGGTGACTAGAGAGCATTGACGGTAACTGAAACCGGCATCGAATGAAATCATAAGTTGAAAAGCTGAACATCCAAAATCGTCCCAAGGCACAAATTATACTAATGAATATACATAGGAAATGAAAAGCGCAATAACAGACTGTAAGGCGAGCCTCCAAAGAAAGGATTAAGGAGTGATAAAAGTAGAATGTATGTACAAGTCGTATGAACCACGCTGAATCAATCCCCCTTTGCCCAGGCCTTCGGAAAGAGCTGGGGACTGTGACTTCATTCACAGTTTCGATGCCCGCTTGGCGTATTGCTGAAGACCGTATGCAACTATTTGCCTGATTAGAAACGGAGTAGTGAAAAGAAGTTTTCTGTATATCGAAAAGAACCACTGTATCGATTGAGGTATCAAACGAGATGGAGCAGAGCCAAAGTAATAAATCCCCAAACATGGAGTGGAAATAGTTAGGATAAGACGTCAAAATATTATAAACTTGTCCAAAAGATGGGTATTCAGAAAGAGGACGAAATATGCAAGAAAAAGCGAATCACGAAGGAAGAGTATCAAGGCTTTGAATCTGCAGGAATGGAGAACGGTTGGCAAATGGCAGACAATATGGAGGTATAGAAATCAGACGTAAGGAGTAGTATAGCAAAAAGGCAAAGGAATACGGAAAGGAGGCAAAAAGGGTCAGTACTAACCAAGGGCAACGGCGGCGCTCCTTGCAGCGCCCGCTTTGTTTGGTCCACCGCCCAGCGTAACAACCCAAACTAACCAGCCCAAAACACCAAGCTTCTCTCTGCCGTCGCGGTCAAAGTTGGGCTTCATGAGCCCGACTCCGAGGAACTTGCTCAGTTTGCCGGCGTACGGCGGGTAGCGGATGGCCAAGGCCTTCTCTACCCAGCTGGGCGTGGTGGTGATGGAGCGACGGTGCACAAAGGCTTCGAAGCTGCTGCGTCCGTGGTAGCAGCCTGTTCCACTCTCGCCCACTCCGCCAAACGGTAATGTTGGAATGCTGATGTGCATGTACGAGTCGTTGACGGAAGCATTTCCAGACCGGACGGCAGTAAGGACTGGATGGGTAGATGTTAGTTCAACTTTGTGGAATACGCATTAATAGACATCCAAAGCATACCTTTCTCAGCCTCTTGCTTTGTTCCAAAAGGATAAAGACTCAGCGGGGTTCCATCGAGATCATTAGCGATTCTGATGGCCTCGTCCAAGTTTTCGACTGGTAAAATGGGGATTATCGGGCCAAAGCTCTCTTCCGCAATGAGAGAATCGTCAACAGAGTCAACCTGTACCACAGTAGGCTCAATGAATTTCTCTTGTTCATCCATAGCCCCTCCGAGGAGAATCTTGCCATTGCTATTGTCGATCATGGCTTTGATGCGGCGAAATGAGGGTTCATTGATGATCCGGGCGTAATCAGGGGACTCCTTGGGGCCCTTGGGATAATATTCCTTTAACGCTTTGGCAAACTCCTCGACTAGCCTTGGAACAACCTCCTTATCGGCAAGGATATAGTTCTGCGATGTGCAGACCTGACCGGCATTCATGGTCTTACCCCACAGCAAACGTCGCGCTGCCAGTCTGAGATCCGCATTCTTGGTGATGAAAGCAGGGTTGCGGCCACCGAGCTCCAGCAGGACGGGCGTCAGATTTGGAGCAGCGGCTTGGGCAATCACGCGGCCTACCCTGCTGCTGCCAGTGAAGAATATCTTATCCCACTTCTGAGCAAGCAGAGCTTTGGTTTCTTCAACGCCGCCCTGGGTGATGGTCACGAATGCTGGGTCAAAGGCAGCTTCGACTATCTCTTGCATCACAGCAGCGGAGTTGGAGGAGCTCTCGCTTGGCTTGATCATCACAGTATTTCCGCCGGCAATGGCGCCAATGACAGGCCCAAGAGTCAGCAAAAAGGGGAAGTTGAACGCGCTGAGAGATGTGTGTTAGTTCTGATAGGAGGACCGCCTCTGGAGGAGCGAACACACCCAATGACCAAAACACAACCCAATGGATCTTTTCTAATCGTGGGCTTCATCAGGGAATAGGTGAGATCGATGTCAGGGGCCTTCTCGTCCTTTGCCCATTTTGGTAGATTTTTGGTTGTAAAAATGATATCATTTTCCAGAGCGGTAATTTCAGCTAGGTAGCACTCATATTCGCTTTGTTCAAGTCTCGCCTGAGAGCTTCCTTGATCTGAGGCTCGCGGTCCTTGATGCTGC